TAAAATAACAGACAAAAACAAGACAACACAAAACAGTGTTGAAATGAACTAACAGATAAATTGGAAGACAGGAGTGTAGCTCTCTGAACGTTCCTAACAGGAGAGGAACAAGATGTGAAATAAAACTAATACAAATACAAATAAAACTAATACAAACTGATAAGGAGGCTGTTGGAAACATGAATACTAACACGTAACTGGATATCAGAGGCAAAGGAACAAAAGGGGGAACAAAGCATTAAAACAGAAAATAGACAGAGGGTGATACAGATAGAAACACTGGGGAGACTATTATCACTACCAGTAATAATGCTATTAAAAAAAGACATGAAGCAGAACACAAAACTGAAACAAAAAACCCCTGGGGACGATGGACCATGAGATAAAACAAAATAGATCAACAATAAATGATCAGTTCAGCAAACAGTTTGATATGATTATCAGTTTCTGCTGGACATAAAACCAATACACAGTTCAGAATATTAGACCTCATGCAGCATTAGATCATGAGTTAGCATTTGTTACGCTATGGATTCAAACACTGAATATGTGAGTTTGTAGGCATTATTTCAAGCACCATCACTAAATAATCTCACATGTCATAGTACACTTTGAAATGTCTCGTACATTCGGAGTATTTTGATGACGTGTGTTGCAGTGTTACTTCAGTCTTGCTCAGTTCTGAGAACTCTGCTACAGTTGGCAGCAGCATCTGTCTTAGTGTGGGATGGACTAAATCCTGTCCAATGTGAGTCCGAGAGCCACTAAGGAGAAGTTTCCTGGGGGAGTTTTGCTCATATTGCATAAAATCTGTGTCAAGCCTCCACTGAGGGGACTTCAGGGGAAGAAGAAGACGTTTCCTAACTGCTCATAATTAGCCAGCGCAAGCAAGAGGTGAGTTTTTATAGCAGGACAGATAACTGTTGCAGGCATGTTGTATGGGATCCTACTTTTTTCTTGAATGCTTTATCAGGATTCACGTGAAGAGAAAGTCTCAACTCCCTTCTTCTTTTATGATTTACAGTGTTGTGTAAAATTCTTGAGCTACCCCTCATTTATATTTATCATCTATAAAAATGTCAAAAATAACAGTTCCATAGACATTTTTTTTTGCAACAACAAAGGGATTTTCAAAGAGCTGGTGTGCAGTGTCTCCTTAAAAATTTGAGGAAACTGGACAAGTGGAGGACAAAAGAAGAAATGTCATTCCTAAAAAATAAAACTACAGTGGATCTGAGAGAAAAAGCCATTCTTAAGGAAGGGAAATATTGGGAACATGCTGAGGAATGCCAAATTACACAAGAACTGTGTGTACAGCCATCTGTAAATCACAGTGGAGGCTCTATCATGGTTTGGGCTGCATTTCAGTCAGTGGTTTTGGAGATCTTATCAAAACTGATGACATTATGAACACAGAAAAGTACCATCAGACTTTGATTCACCGCTGAATATTATCAGTCTGGCAGTTGACTGCTGACACAGTTTGAAGTCATCTGATGTGAAAGAACTCTGCATGTGACTGTGATTGGACTCAGCGGTTTTGCAGATCTCGGTAACATGAATGTGAAGGCTTGTGCCGAAACATCATAACATCATCAGCCACACTGAGGGTCTGGGAGTGAATGAAATGCTCAGTGTGTCTTTATTTCAGGAAAATGTGAAGCAGATGACGTCTTAGATAACACTGAAACATTTTGTGAGTCCTTATTTCCATAAAATAACCTTTATCGATGTGTTTTATTAACCTTCACTGCTTGTTTGGTTTTTAGATTTAATGGAGCGACAAAGCAACTTGCACTCACAAGATGATGCAGAACCATCAGTCCTCATTGGTTGGGCGCTGGTGAAGCTCCAGTACGCTGTATTCGTTGCAATGTCACGGGCCCGGCAGAGACTCGTACAGCTCTCAATTGTGTTCTCATTTGTCTTCCTCCTCCTGTGGATCGCTGCATTTCTGTACGGGACTTTCTACTACTCTTACATGCCCCAGGCGACTTTTTCTGCACCTGTGAACTACTACTACAGGTGTGTATGTCAAGTCCCATCCAGCTTCTGTTTCTGTGGTCCATTCTTTCTCATTTATTCATGTTTTAATCTCCAGGACAGACTGTGAATCTCCAGCTTCGTTTTTGTGCTCTTACCCTATGGCCAACATCTCTCTGATCAGAAATAAAAAACATGTAAGTTCATCAGTTTACTCCATGCAGGGGACTTATTAGGCTTTTCTTTAGAGGAAGAAAGTGGTCCTTAATGGGGAGCGGAGTGCGGAGGAACAAAAAAGGGCTTGTTTCAGACAGTGAATTAATTTTAAACAGTGAATCATGCAAAGCCTCACTAGTAGACTCTAAAAATACAAATATATGGCTGGAAAGAAGCATAATTGTTCCCCTATAGACATTCATTCATATTATATATATGTATATATTTATATGCATTCCAAGAATACTCATATGTTTTTTGTAATATATATCGAGGCGCTGACATTCGGCCAGCCCTATCGGATGTCTTTGCAGCTGGAGATGCCGGATTCCCCAACCAATCGGGAGCTGGGGATGTTTATGATTAAAACAACCTGTTTCTCTCAGGATGGAGAGCAAGTGGCCTCCTCTGCTCGCTCTGTAAGCTGCACTCATACTCACTCAGCACCAGCGCGTCTACATGCAATCAAATAGTGTACTTTTAACAGCTACTCCAGTGATTCACTGCTGCACTGCTGTGTGTTTCTCAGGGAAAACATCAGCTGTCTGCCTCCAGCTCTCGCTTTGTGAGTACAGTGCTGATGCATGCTAACCCTTTTAATCACACAGCCTGCTCGGAGCCAGATTAGAGCTGCTTATGGCAGGTCTTCCACTGTGTCAGGTCATCCCAGTGCTAAAGTTAATGAGATGACAGGACAGAGATGTGACATGACAGCTTAGAAATACAAGATGAATATGTGACATGGACTGTTTGATTCAGCACCGATACTCAAACTCTAAAGCATTTTTTTTAAAATTTAGCAGAAATAAATTATATGAGTTTTGTTTTAATTGTTTACACACCTCCATACTTTTTAGATGCATGTGTCTAATTTACAAAAAACCCAGGTAAGTTAATCCACAACCACCATGAACAGCCTATTGGTTCATGGGTGTAGTATAAACTCATGAGCGTCTGAGCCTGCATCTGTAATCCTTTCTTTAAATTTCATCACTAAAGACCTTTTGCACCGACTTGCACATTTGTAACAAAAGAGCAAAATGAATTCATCCCAGAGTCTGGATAATAATATGTGCACTGTAAGTGAAAGATATTGTGCTGTGCTGTTGTGGTCAGAGCATACTGCGATACCGCTCAGACCTGCTGAGGACGCTGGGAACGCTGCTGTTCCTCCCGGCCTTTTTGACTGGAGCAGCCGAGCAGAAACAAGTGCTGGAGGTGGAGCTCTTCTCAGACTTCACAGACAACCCAGTGAGTCCTGCATATATAGATGTTAGATAAAAAGGGAGTAGGGAGCAATAAGCAGGACAGGGATACAGGGGAACACATGTTAATACGGAAACAGCAGGTCAATATTTAACTGACACCTAATTAACAAGTTTATTTTCCCTCTCTGTTCAGTATGCTCCCTCAGTCACGGCTGTCATCGAGATCATGTCCAGCAAGGTGCAGATATATTCATCTGACCTCTACATTCATGCTCATTTCACTGGCATAAGGTGAGAATTACCCACATAATGCACACATTTGCTTGAAAAAAGAAGAACGTGTTGTAACGTTTAAACCTCCTCCAGGCCCCTCTGTGTACTCAGATTGCAGGGTTCTCTTCACAGTCTAAAGCTATTTGATGACTGTGATGTATCCAAACTATCATATGGAGCACAAATGATAAAATGTCACTATTTTAGAAAATTGCTTCGACCAGAAGGAATCATACCAGATTACCCTGGAACTGAAATGTAGGCAAAAAGGAGAGCTTTCATGTGCTGCGATTGGTTTCGACCAGAAATACTGCGTGGGAATAAAGACGCTCAAAAGTTTATCCAAAAGAAGTTTTCGATCCATTCATATGTACCTCGAGGGCTTTCTTCCAGGAAAATGTTTGTAGTATGAAGGCAAAATTTTGAATGGCTCATTAAATACACGTTTGATTATTTATGGAATATAAATTTTTTATTTTTTTTCTGTGACCAACTGTCAGAATATGGCATTTTGCAAGATTTTCCTCAAAATCATGGGTTGGTTACTTGACAGAGATATAACAATGATAAGCCAAGGCACCAGTGGCTCTGCTTTCACTCGTGGTTTATGAGGAATGAAGCAGAACTTACATTCAGCTCAATAACGCCACAATAAATAGAATAGAAATATGATGTGGACGTGAAAGGGACACACGTTTCTCAGAAGTGGCTCTGAAAAACTTGAATTCAGGTAGCAGTGATCCTCATCTTTGTTAATCAGCTGCCAAAATCAATGACCCCAGGTCCCGACACTGTGTAGACTTTGGCCCAGTCTCAGTGACCACACTCAGAGACAGTGAGAGGTGTCTCTGGCAGACAGTTTGAGTACTTTTTGTCATGGTTCTGGCTCAGGTTACCCAGAGTTTCTTGGACCTTTGAAGTTTTGAAGTTGTATTGATTTATTTCTTCTTTGTGATCCCCGGTTTGTTTGATGTTTATATTCACTTCATGTATTCTTGTATTTAGTTTTGCTCCTAGTTTCTAAGTAGCTTCATCATTTCACTCTTCGTTGTCCCTCATATTTATGTGTCTGCATTTTCCCCATGTAGTTATCTTATTTTGGGAGTTTGTGTTCCTTGTTTGTTGCTTTGAGTTGTTGCTTCCTATGTAGTTGCTGTCTTCCTCATTGTCCTTGTCAGAGCCTCAGTTCACTTCCCCCTAACATATCCCAGGTCCTGTGCTACATTTCCCGAGTATTTATTCCCAGTTTATGCTTCTGTAAAGAGACGTTTTTCTGTTGCTTTTTGTGTTTTGGTCTTTGTTTAGTCTGCACTACACATTCAGGACACTTTTTCCTGAGATTTATATAATATTTACCCGTTGCCTCACCAGATACTTGCTGTACTACTTCCCCGTCATATCAGCCATTGTGGGCGTCTCCAGCAACTTCATCTTCCTCAGTTTCATCTTCATCTTCAGCTACATGAGGCTGCTGTTTCAAGCGAAACCACAGCGGGTGAGAAGAGAGACCCATGACTGCAAACAGACAGGGCTCTAAACTTGAATTATCAGATTTTTCCTTCCTGGTCATGCTTACCTGTCACTGAGTTCCTTGTTGCCTACAGTTCAGAATGAATTGGACAGAGGAGAACAACCAGCAAGGGGAGGAAAGAGCTGTCCCTGCAGGTACATTATTATTTATGTTCATGCATGTTTAAACTAACTGGATCAGTTCAAGAGTGTGATTTACTGTGTTTGACTGCTGGAACAAATTCTTTGACAGGCACTGCAGAAATGCTGGGTCCCTTCCACCAAAACCCCACAGACGTGAGACAGGAGGAACCACATTTTCACGTTGGAAATGGCACAGAGCAGCAAAACAGAGATACAATTGGTCAGGGAGAAATAAACGAAACAGAAGCAGCCTGAGGCAACTGATAAAGGAGGAGGAAAATGTGCAGAGAACAACCATGATAATGTGATGTAAAGATGAATATTTAAGGCCAATATCTGGTTGAAAATGATGAAGAAAATCAATTTTACATAAAAGCCGCAAAGAAACCCTGTCATTATGAGAAAAACATTTCTTGGGAATATGTTAGACTGAAAAAATATATACATGGTTTTATTTGTTTGAGTATTTATAGGCACCACAAATAAGTCACTTGCAAATGTCTTTATAGTCAAAACAAAAAGACATTTGCTCTGATATAAAATAACACATAATTACAATGATCATAAATGTTGTAGTTGCTGGTTAACACTAATCATACAGACAAAGTCTGGAGACAAAGTAAGAGGGGTCGGGATGGTTTGGAGATGTGCAGAGGAGGAATAGTGGATATACTGGACAAAGATGGAGGTGCCAAGCAGGAAGAAAAGAGAAAGATCTAGGAGGAGGTTTATGGATGTAGTGAATGGGTGCATGCAGAGGGATAGTTTGAGGTGGAGGCAGATGACGCCCTGAGGCAACCTCCAAAGATAGAAACTGAACGTGGCTGAAAGAAGAAAAAGAAGTTACCTACACAGCTGTGTAGGTAACTTCCCATGCCACTGAAACACACTTCTGTGTTTCAGTGGCATATTAATCCAAGATTTCTATGTTAATTTACACTTAGATAAAATCTTTTCCAAATACATCAGCTGAAAGCTGCTTTTGGTTTTGGGAGGGGTTTTAAATACAAGTAATTCATTTAGCTGGTTGACTGCATGAAGCATTACCATTAAAAAAAGACCTTTTTTTTCAAACTGAGCATTCTTGTTCTAAGAAATGAGGACGATTTAATGCGAAAATCAAAATCAGTGATGCTTTTATACACTGGTGTTTTGCTACTCCTTTCACATAACAGCCTGAACTGGCTCTAACCAGAATCGAAACAATGTGGGGAAACTCCAGCGGACAACTGAGTATGAAGACAAATACGTTTAAAACAGAGCTCAAATTTTACAAACAAAAACTTCACAGATCAACTCAACGGATAACTTCTTTAAATCCACACATAAAACAGCAGAAACATCAGCAGCACGAAGCTGGGGGCCAGAAATGGCCCAAGACAGACTCAAACCCCAGCTCCTGCAGTAGCCTTTCAGAATATTGGTTGTCTGCTCAACACAGTGAGCCAAACGGTTACCCCACTGCAAGTTTTTTTAAGCAATAGTTGCAAAAAAAAAAAAAAAAAGCCACACCGTGTCTCCTTAGCTTGGGACAATTACATCCATCAACACGCACTTATTGGAAAGTTTATTGGTTACACTTTGCTAGTTCCAGATTGGATCTCTTTTCAGAGCTGCCTTAATCCAACGAGATATCGTACACATCCTTCTGAGATTTTGTGCTTTATTGACATGCTAGCATCACACAGTTGTAAATCTCCCGTTCCAGCACATCCCAAATATACTTAATTGGATTGAGGTTTAGTCACTGTGGAGGCCATTTGAGTACAGTGAATTCATTGTTATGTCCAAGAAACTATTTTAAGATTATGTGATCTTTGTGATACGGCGCGCTATCCTGCTGGAAGCAATGATCAGAAGATGGGTATACTATGGTCACAAATGGGTCAATATGGTCAGCAACAATGCTCTATAGGGTGTGGCATTTTAAGCAAGTCTGAAGCAGAAATTACCAGTGTGTGAACTTCAGCAGGTTATGTTGACCATCCCTTACCATGCATAAATGCACTGAGTTGTTGCTATGTGATTGGCTGATTAGATAATTGTGAAAATGAGCAGTTGAGGCTTTCCTAACCAAGTAGTCAATGGGTTTATTTCAAAGTAATATGTACTTATAACAATATACATGAAATCTATTCTACATAATAACTGTCTAGAATTTCTGTTTTCATTAAGCTGTGAAATGTTGGACTGTGGAGCTGTTTCATTTGTTCTATGGTGAAAAGAAATTCTGAAAAACAACAAAGCAAACTTTGCATCTTTTTCTTATTACACAAATAACACTTTTTTTTTGCATTTATTCACTCGAATGCTGTGTAACTATTTAAATAAAACACTGTAAAACACATTCATTATTGGAGGGAGGACACCGTATTCCTGGATGTCCTCTTGCCAGTGGCACTCTTGGCCAAATTCCAGCAGCTGTCCCTGAATAAAGCTCTGGAAACTTAACAGCGTCACTGCATGCAAAATTTGGCACCAGCAGAGAGAATGAGAACGGGATGTGGCTCACTGACAGGCACACAGCTTTGTGTAACTGAAAACTTGCAGGTGGAGGACACGGGTTAGGTAAGTTAGATACACGTGAGCATTTAATGCTGCTTCTTCTTTTTTTTTCAATTTCAACGTGTTCAAAACTGTGCATCTGTTGTAAAGATTTTGCTGTTGTACAAGCACATGTTGGGCTCACATCCGACACAAAGATGGACACTACAGATGACAACCACACAGAGGGGATAAAGATGGAGATAGAGAATCAGCAAATTGTAGAGAATGACTGCTTTTCCACCTTATCGGATAAAACGCATCAACATCTGTTGATCAGTGAAAGACCGTCGAGCAGCTGCAGGGTGGTCAGATTAAGATCCAGACCCAGTCTCCAGTCAACAAAAAGCTTCCCCCCTTATAGTCAGTGCATAGGTGGACTGGGAGAGGACGAGGACTCGGATGATCAGCACAATTCAGACATGGCTTGCCAGTCAAATGCCACAAATGTGAAGGAAGACAAAACAGAAGAACTTCAAAGCACAGAACGAAACGAAGAGCTGACTACAAGATCTCCAAGGGACTGGCTAAAGGCAAAATGGAAACTTAGGAGGAAGGAGAGGTCGGGGGGAAGCTTTGAGGTCGACGCAGACAGCTGCGAGAGAGGAAGGTGGAGTGGGAAAAGAAGGGTGGAGGAGACTGAAAAAAAAGAGGAATTTAATGATGATGATGATGATGATGATGAAGGATGTGCAAATGCTGAGGGAAAACACTGGAGAGGTAGAAACTCCAGCTTTGAGAAAGTGAGGAAAGAAGAGGAGGAAGACGAAGATGGGAGATCGACTATTTCAGCAGTAGAAGGAGATACAAAGAGCAGCAGGGAGACCCCAAAAAGGAATGATGAGGAGGAACTGCCAGGAGTGACAGAGGGGTCCACAACACAACAGTGGTCCTCCCCACATCCTATCCTCTCCAAGCTTCTGCACTCCTCCACCTCCTCCTCCTCTTCCCTCAACCTTTCCTCCGCAGAGAGCGACGAGGTGTTCAGTGAAGGAGAGGATGCTGGGTCAAAGAGGAAGACATTCAGGAAGGTGAGAATATCTGAGAACAACACATTATACACAGATGCAGCTTTAAAGTATGTTCTCATTTTTTGGGGGGAGGGGGGTCCTGGCTGATACACTAGCATTGGCTCATGTGTCTGGCTGCTCTGGTTTTCCATGGAAGTAAAGTAAAACCATGTTTCTCAACTGTTCTGTGCACCTGTGGTCCTACTGATTTGCATGGGCTTGAAAGAGGACTTTGACAAAGTCAGATTTGAATGGTGTTTGCATGCCTGGCTGCTGCTGCTGCTGCAGATATGAGAGTAAAGAGCGAACAGAGGGAGGATGATAGGAAGCACGCTCTAAACACAGTGTGTTTGCATTGTCAGACACTGAATAGCAGACAGTCGGCTGTAGCAGGCCTACAAAACATTTTAAACCAGCATGGTAACGTTTAATATGGAAGCGTGTATGATTGGAAGAGCTTAAATATGATGTAATAGAGACATTTCCTCCAAACTGCAAGCCTGTCATTTTGTAACAGTGCACTACTGAACATGCTTGGCTCAGCTTCAGCTGCTTTTGGGTTTAGGTTTTTCATTGGCTACCTCTGTGTCTGTTAGAGACTGTTTTGTGTATATACAAAGTAGATCGTAACTGCTGAGGAATGTTCTGTTTGTTGGAGTACATTTTTCAGAGTTTGTTAAGGCCACGTGACTACATGGCTCCCCGAAGTGGGAAATCAAAGAATTTTATGTAGTCATTTTATGCTTTTGTCAAAAGAAATGTACAAATGAACCATTTCCAAATTACAGAGAATTAAAGTTCAACGTGCGTCCATAGCTATGATTTCACTGTGAATGTTTTGACATTTCACGGTAGCAAACGTGCGTAAAAACACACGTACTTGCCGCTTAAAACAAACCAGTTTCTGTTCATTTTATTAATGACATCTCTGTTTTTCCTACTGTGACAAAGCAAGTTTAGCCCTTCACACTAACAAACCGGCTTACCCTGCTTCTTTTTGCATGCATGCTGCTATTCCTGTTGTAGGTAAATTCGGCACTCTAAACTCCCTGCAGGTGTTTGTCTTTGTCCTTTACACATAGGTAACCTACCTATTAACAAAGAAATGGAAGGTATTCTCCACACCCTGAACTGGCCTTAGAGATAATAGTTGTTGGATAACTACTAGACAGGAATGCTCCTCTCACGTAACATGCTTTTCTTTTTATGCCTCAGTGCCGCTCCTGGAAAACCTTCCTGACCATGATGCACTGGTCTATGAGCCGGCAGAGCTCCTGGGTCCAGCTGGCTGGACATCAAGGCATGTGTGTTACAGTTTCTTCCACACAGACACGTGCAGGCTTTCAGAAATCAGCGTGAACGCATTTCCAAATGATGCTAGCTATGATGCTGTCCAACACATTGATGTTTACATGATTGCAAAGCTTCCCAAGAGGACATTTTTGACTTGTAAATATGAACTGAAGTCACTATAGGATGTACTGTATGTCATCACCACTGCTTGCCCGCATTAACTCACATTGACTCATATGTAAATATCCATGTGACTGCACATTATGTCAGCTCTTCACGGACTTAGTCATTGTTTTAGTTTGTGTTTCAAAAGATTATTAGGACGTGGGCTAGTCATTGAACAGTGGATGGTTAAAATCAGGAGACAGTGAAGCTCAGTATTACCTTTACTGAGGTGTCAGTCTTGAAAAAGTTTACTATGCTGAACTTAGGCAGTACCCATCACTCTGCTTCCTTCACTTATTGCCTTATTGATTGTATGGGAACAATAATTTCATCTCTTCTTGATGTTTGCTGATGTCATCAGGTAACTTCCAGGTCAGTAAAGGAGGTGAGGTGCTGAAACTATACAGTGAAGTGGAAGCAAACTGCCTGGATTGCCTGATGAGAGACCCGCTGAGACCCTTTGTCCCACAGTATCATGGCTTGGTAACAAGAGGGGAGCTCTGCTATATCCGCCTGGAGGATCTGCTAAGTGGCCTGAAGAGGCCCGTCATCATGGACTGCAAGATGGGAGTCAGGTAAGGCGTCCCTCACAGGTGACTCATCAAGTCTTGATTGCAGAATATTAACATTCAGCTACATGAAGGGCTTAGTGAGTTTTCTAGGAGAGAAAATGTCAAGATTTCCGATTTTATGAATACACTGGTTTTAATGTATAGAAAGGGTATTTGGGAATAAATTGTTTATATCATGTTCTTGCTATGATGACTAACATCTGCTCATGGAAGGTTATTTTTATATCGAATCCCGAAAAAATGACAAAATTAAAACGTGAACATCCAGTTTGTACCTGGTCCTGAGCTTCTGGTCATTAAGAGCGATCCCTGTCAGCAGACGGATACGGGAACTGTCGTTTTGAATGGTTCAGATACGTCTTTGTGTCCACAAGGAATGAATTGAGTCTTACCTTATGAGACCTCAGCATCTAAACACCACACTTTCTGCTCAGGGCCAGGAATTAAACCTCCCCTTGAATTTCACTCACTGTGGTATATCACACCATTATTTCCAGTCTGATATTGGCGTTTTTGTTTACAAAGTTCGAATGACCCCTTTGTCAAAACTAAATATCTACATTTTCTTTGCTAGAACCTTCCAAGAGGATGAATTAGTCAAAGCTCGTGTCAAAGCTCCTCTGCGAAGCGATATGTACCAGAAGATGGTGAAAATGGACCCTTCTGCTCCGTCAGCAGAGGAACATGCACAGAAGGGAGTCACCAAATGGCGCTACCTTCAGTGGAGGGATTCAATCAGTTCTACGTCCACGCTGGGCTTCAGGATAGAGGGCATTATGGTAGGAGTGAAGGCCAGGGAAGGAACTGCACTGTTTATGTTTATTAAAAGTATCCGTCTGATAAAGTATCTGTTTCTGTCTCTGTGAGTCAGATGGAGGATGGTAGCATCCAGCGGGACTTCAGGAAGATTCAGACTTTAGCTCAGGTCACTGAGGCACTGCTTTACTTCACCAGGAGCCAGCTGGACACTCTGGTCAGTTCTGCTAACATGTAAAACTTTTCCTTTAGAAAACGCACTGGAATCATGTCATAGTAAGAAAAAAATTGTTTGATAACAGAAAACAGAACTGGCAACTTCAAAACTGATAATGAATGCAATCCTTAATGAGCAAGCAAGTGGAAAGAGTGGGGATAAAGAAACCCTAAGTGGAGCTAAACCTGGTGAGGACTTACATCTGCTGTGACCTGTCATGGTCGTAGGGAAAAGTGCAGAGAAGTGCAAAGTTCTTGCAGTGTATACCTAAAGACACTTACCAGACCAAACTATTTTGAAAGAATAATCCAACACCAACCACTTTACAAAATGATCAGAAAATGTAAAATTACTTTTGGATTTTCTGCTCATTCACATCTCTCATTCTTAATTGTTGGAGAAAGCAGACCTGCATTTTCTGGCAGAGCTGTGACCATATTAAAGGCATCGTCTTTCTTTTACAAATAAGAGTGAAAAAGTGTCATCGTGACTTGAATGTGGGCCCAAATGCAGGCAGGAATGAGCTAAAAATGATCCGTTTATTAAAGATGTTGGCAGATAATCCACAAAAGGAAAAAAACCCCCACAAAGTCCAAAATATAACTGAAAATACACAAACATAAAACTTGGAAAACACACGAGGACAAGGAGACAGAAACAATTGTCACACAGGGGTATTTGGGGCAGCGAGGAGACCCAGCTGAACTAGGACTCTAATAAAAAGTCAAAACGCAAAATAAGTAAACTTGAAAATCTCGTAAACAGGCACACAAACTACTCAAGCAAAATGAGAAACAACTCAAACCTAAAGCATACTTAAACCCAAAATGAAACTAAAACTCTAAAAACTCAGAACCGTGAAGAGACCCAGGGATAGTGACACTGAGTGCTTAGAGCAGCCTACAGCCCAATTGGCTGCACATACACTGACCTGGTTATCTGAAAGCTTTGGCCATGTCTAAGATGAGCATCCACTGTTCTAACAGTGAAAACAAGGAAAAGCATAATAGATCCCATTTAACGTTTCAGTTATCATAGCTTCACCATTTTCTGTTGCTAAACATCTCCACCCATGTGTGTTCTCAGAGAGCGTACCACTCCAGACTCCTGGCCCTGAGTGACGCACTAAAGAATTCGCCATTTTTCAGAACTCATGAGGTTAGTCTACATGTAGAGATTAATCTTGTTCAATTGTACGATAAATAAAAAACACATGAATTCATCATAGCCACTCTTACAATACCTTTATGTTTTTTAATCGATCAGGTGATTGGCAGCTCGCTTCTCTTTGTCCACGACCACAGCAAGGCCAGTGTATGGATGATAGACTTCGGAAAGACGACGCCTCTGCCTGACTCGCAGGAGCTCCGACACAACGTCCCGTGGTCTGAGGGTAGCAGGGAGGACGGCTACCTCATCGGTCTGTCCTCTCTCGTCGCATCTTTAGCCCAGGCCATCAGTGTGGCCTCCTGGCAGCAGGAGGAGAGCTGTGAGGAGGAGCAAATAAGCCCGTGAATGTGCATTTTTGACAGTCGTTACACAATTGTAAGTGGATGAGATGGACAAATCGACTGGTGTTACATCGGAATGGTTTCATTCACTGGAAGAGACTTGATTTGTTAATGGAGATTGTGTCTTCAGGGGCTAAGGAGGAGGAAAAAGGGACTTCGGTGTACCGAAAATCCATAGATATGTGATTGTGCATCCGGTATGTACATACTCTGACAGTTAAAACTACTATGTTACAAAGACCTTTTTGTTTTCTCATTCGCAAAAGACGGACAATCCAAGGAACATCTACAGATCAGGGGCTTGCCCAGTGAAGAGGCATGGGTTGGGAATGACTCTGCTGGAGATCTGTTTACAAATGCTCCTGTCTTGTTTGTTTTAATGTGGTTGGTCTGCATAACCTAAAACAGCTTACCTTTGTTGCAACATAAGCTCATTTAAGGTATCTCATTATGCGCACATCGACTGAACAGCCTCGTGCTCTATCTTTTTTTTAAGACAGTATGTGTAAAAAACATGGGTTAAGTACAGATTAAGCTATACCAATGAAGAAAACACAGCCACAATGTTTGTATTGTATTATTATATTGTTTGTATTTAGATTACTTACACATGATGCAGCTGAAATGTTTTTCACAGTTTTATAGGCTATAAATAACCTCACATATATATATATATATAAAATTAAAATAAGAATGCTTCTTTCTGTTGGGTTTTTATATATCCATGTCACTATTATCATCTTATATAAAATGATCAATGAGTTGCAGACATCCAAGTGATATGCAAAAAAGTAGATAAATAAATAAAATGCTAAATGGCAGTGAGAGTTTAACAGCTGAAATCTCAGGGCAGTCAAATCCATTCGATCATTGCAAAAAGCAGGTTGAGTGAAATATTTCAGTGAGATGGATTGGTGCAGCCAAAAAGCATATATGTCACGGTTCAAGGTTCTTTATTTGTCACATGCATAGTTATACAAGTATAACACACAGTGAAGCGGGGGTAGAGGATGAACATTATATATATATAGTATATACATTGGGTAATGTGCAGTAGTGAATGTGCAGAATGTACATATATGTATTACACTGCATGAGGCAGTGGTGAAGTGTTCAGCTGAAGTGACGGATGAGTTTAAGGTGGGGAAGGATCGGCTCTGAGCCCCTTCTTATTTGATGTGGTGATGGGCAGGTGGACTGATGAGGTCAGGCAGGAGTCCACAGAGACTCCTGCCTGACCTCTTACACATTATGATCTGAAGTGAGAGAAGGAGGCAGGCCGAAGAGAGCATGGAGAGGTGAAAACACATCTAAAAGTGAAGCTGCAAGGAACAGAGGTGGTGAAGGTGGATGTTTAAATATCTCGGGTCAACCATCCAAAGCAACAGATGGGGCACAAGAGAGGAGAGAGTCCAGACAGCGTGGAGTGAGTGGAGAAGAGTATCAGGGGTGATTTGTGACAGAAAGAGAACAGTGAGAGTGAAAAGGAAGGTTTACAAGACACTAGCACTGACAAAAATACAGGAGGTGCAGCTAGAGGTGGCAGAGCTGAAGGATGGACAGGATTAGAAATGAGCACATCAGAGAGACAAAGTTATAGAGGCAGGGCTGACATGGTTTGGACATGTGCAGAGGAGGGATAGTGGAAAAAAATAGGAGGAAAATATTAATGGAGGAGGGTTGGTGTGACAGATGAGGACGCAAAGGGTTGAGTGAGATGGAGACAGAT